TGCAACACCCTGCTGGGCCTTGCTAGGTCCTGACACGCCTTGTTGCGACACGCGTTGCTCTGCAGAGCCATGCGAAGTCCTGCCAGGCTCTGACAGGCCAACGTGTTCCCTGCTGAGCACTGATCGGACATGCCACGCCCTGCTCGGCTCTATAAAGCCTCGTCTGGCCATGCTGGGCTCTACCAGCAGCAGCAGAGCCAAGCATCCAAAAGGACGCGCGGGCAGAAGAGCACGCGATTGGCAGCTCTTCGGGAATTGCGAAAATGAAACGGGGAACGGAGCGCATCACGACAGTGACGCAAAGGATGGATCGCCCGACTGTGAGTTTGGCCCACGGAGCAAAACGCAACGCAGAAACCATGGACGGATGAGGTCTCGGCCTCGCGGGCGGCGGATTAATGCATATATTTTATAAAAACTAGGCCCGTGGAAACTTGTGCATGCAATCGGTCACCGTTGTGCGAGGTGATGGGCGTGTCAAGTGCCCGACAAACATTGCTGCAACATCTGTGGCATCATTTTCACACCCGGCTGCGATAGCACAAATGCTGCATCAGATTGCCGACTTCTCTGGCCCACTGCTGGCGGGGCTGGCCGCGTTGGCGAGTGGAGACCACGTTCTTCGGAGCGCCGTCCGTGTTGCAGAGCACTCGACGAACCAACGGAGCCTCGCTGGAGACAGCTAGTCCCCCATATGGTCTGATTTGCAAGTAATGTCTGCGCTAGGTCCATTGTGCCAGCTCGCTGGTGCACTTCTGCCTTGATGATTCGGGATGCGAATTAACATGGTGCTCCCAATATTCGCATAACGGATTCGGGGTGGAATGCGTCTAGTCTGCGTCTGTCCTCTGTCAACAACCACAGTGAGTCCAATGAGTGCAATAATTTTCTTACCAAGCAACTGTCGTTTATTTTAGATTCATCCTCCGACAATTTGAGGAACGCGGCCGGACTTTGCATGGCGTTCTGAACCCTGGGCCTCGCCCGAACTCCATATCGTTTCACTCGTGCAGATCTGCATTCGGAGCGCGCTTTGCACAGTGGCTCTCTACGTGTTTTGGAGGTTTGGGCTGCTCTGCAACGCAAGCGTAATGTCATCTGCGCCGGGAATATGCCTCGTTGCGATGCATTCTGGCTCGGGGTCGTACGTTGTGCGCCCAGTCGCGCCTGGAATCTTGGATTGGGCTCGCGACGAACGCGCGGTGGGAGAGGGGGCGCCGGCGTCTTTGCCCGATGCGCTATCGCGTGCTGGCGGGGCTCGTCGACGAGAAGGCGCCGAAGAACGCGGCGGCGAAGATGGCGCGGGCGATGCTCTTGAAGGGCAAGTATCTTCGCTCTCTCCCAGAGAAGCCGCGGGGGCGTCAGGCGAGGAAGTTGGCGAAAGGCGAGGGAGGTGGGTCGATGAGGAAATGGATGAGGTAATGCTGCTGCCGGTGCCTGGATGTTGTGGTTTTCGCGGCGCGTCGCGCACGACGGTAGCTCTGCCCGACTTCGTTCTGGCGCCAGTTCCCATCCCACTGTCGATGATGAGGTCGGTTCTGGTGTCTGGCCGCGCCCCCCCATTTGCCGCCCGAGCCTTTGGACTTGCCCGTCCCCATCATGGCTTTGGCGGCTTTGTCCAATGGATGGCTGCACTTCTCCGTGAGCTCGATCAGTTTTGGGCGCCCTTGTAGCTCTTTCCATTATTTCGATTCCTTCGCCCGAACTCGCTGCAGACCTCGTGCGGCAGCCGTGATGGCAAGGGCAAGCTCCCCGCCCGCGTAGACTTGATAGGGGCGCGTATCGTCGACCACGATTATATACTCAAGATTCATGCTCTTTCAAAATATACTTGAGGTCGACACAAAACTCCGGGCGGCGCGTTCTACGGGGTGCCAGTCGGGTTTGGCCCGGACAGTATTCCCATTCGGGTTTATCCTCGCGCCCCTGATCAAGGCCACAGCCGTGTCTCTGGCCAGGGTACTATCAAGCTCAGCGCGCAGTTTTGCAATCTAAAACGTATCACCTTGGGAGAAGGCCAGGAAGCGATGACAATTGATCGTGGATCCATGCGGATGCTGCGTTCAATAATCAGAAACCGTCCAAAAATCAAAAAGACTCCCGATATCTCCCGTCTCCCATGCCAGTCGGTAGTTGGACGTGTCCCCCTGGGGGCATATAATCTTCTTGCACTGAAGCAACCTCCATTTCCAAACTTTGTATATTTTTCTGCGCCTCTGTGTCCACAGATGTTTCGGAAGTCCTCGCTGAGGCTGGGCGCGAAGCGTTGTTCGGCTCAGGGTCAACCGATCCTCTCGGTCAAGTCCCCCATCTCGTCTTTCAGCGGGTTGATAGCCGTCTGGATGTCTTGCTGTGAAGCACCAGGATTTTGATAGCAGTTATATATGTCTGGATCGGGTCCAATTGCTCATTCAAGATCTTCCAGAACATGTCTGCAGTAAGTGCTTGGGCATCGGCAGGGCGATCATCGCGACGAAAAGACGTAGACGTAGGTGCAGGGGCTCTGAAGAATCCCAATTGTTCTGGCCGATTGCTGTCAAGGGTGTGGTCGCCAACCGTCTCGTGAAGCGGACTGCGGATCCTGTGCTGCTTCGCTCTGCTTGTAGGCGGAGTCGAAGGAGAGTCATTGAGTAAATGCCCAACCGAGGTGCCTGGCATGCGAGAGTTGCCCGAAGAGCACATACAAATAGCATCGAACGCAGGGAAGACAGAGGAGCGTGTAATAGTGACGATTGGGATATGGGGACGGAATTCGGTGAAGGTTGAGCCGAATTCTGACATGCCCTGCTGGGCCTTGCAACGCTTTGAAGAGCCCTGCGAATTCTTCGAAGCCTTGACAGACTATGTTGAATAATGCTAAACACTGGTCGGCCGGGCTCGGCCCTGCTTAGCCATGATAAACCTTGCGAACTCATGCCCGGCCCTGCTGCCCTGTGCTTTATCCTGCTCAACTGTGGTAGAGCTGAGCTCTGGCAGGCGTTGCTTGGCCCTGCTAAGGTCTGCGGATACCTTCCATGCCATGACAAACAAGCCCTGCTGAGCGAAGTTAAATTATCGTATGCCCTGCTATGTCATGGTAGGTAGGGCTAGACTGTTACAGCCCGTGCAAGGCCCTGCCATGCCCCGCGAAGCACTACGAAGCCGTGCGAAGCTCTGCGAGCATGTGCGAACCCCTGCTGGGCCATCGTAAGCGTTCGCCCTGAGACCGCCTGCTAAGCAGCGATCATCCTATGCGTGGCTTGGGCCCCGCTACGCCGGGCTAGGACACGCCAAACTTAGGTCAGCTCTGATAGGTGGTGCTCGGCCCTGCTGACACCTGCTAGCCCTCGATAGGGCTCGCAAAGCCCTGCCCGCCCCTGCAGGGCCCTGCAAGGCATGCGCGTCCCAGGCATGAACATCCCATGTATGCATTCCATGTCCACCAAGGAGGAGACAAAGAGAGACAACGAGAACGAGAGAGAGAGAGAGATATTTCATGTATATATGTGCGTGTATCTATATATGTGTATACATTCATATATATATATATATGAGAGAGAGAGAATTTCATCACATTTACATATACATGTGTATATATACATATAAGAACAGCGGTGAAGAGAAGGGTGACAACTCCTAAAACTTCTCTGGGACCCAGAGGGGCTCCACAATCTTCCAGACTCTCCTCCTCCCCCTCCCCTTCCCCCTGCCTCCTACCTCCTCTTCCTCCTCCTCGTTTTCCCCTTTCCTCGTCCCCACTCCTGGTCACTGCTTGCGCCTCCCCCTCTTCCCTACGCCAGGGGGCGCCCGCCTCGGCACGCAATCCCTTCGCCAGGCCCCTGCAGGGAGGCGGCCGGCAGCCCAGCGCCTGGTGCTGCAGTCGCCCCGTATCATAAGGATGCACGATAAGGATGAAAAGGGCCTTGGAAGGCCATGGCGACACTTTGTGGGCGGGGCGCGGCCAGCGAAAGCGGCCAAGAATGGGCCGACGGGAAAGGATGCAAGGGTAACCCTGGAAACTCGCTCGTCCTTACTGCGCGTGTTTACGGTGTACTCCTCATACCGTTCCGCTATCCCGCGTCTCGCTATCCCACAAGGCGGGACATGGGTGGTCCGGCAGCCGCTTCGCCCGGGATTGGTCACAACTTCTTGAAACATCGTGCCCTCGCCGCAAAAGCCGGCAGCAATCTGGGTCCAGACGGCCACGATCCGTTGCAAAGGATCACTGGAAAGTGCTCATGGCCAGGCTCTCGCTGCTGTCCCGGCTGCATCTTAATCTTGTCATTGTCGGGGCTTCCTGGCTGTGCTTCTCCTACTCCTCGACCCGCTGTTCCCCGCTGTGTGGTTTATCCTCGTGGGTTATCAGACGCGGTCGTGGGATATTCTCGTCCTGGCGTCGTCTGATTTCAAAACGTTCCCGTCAGGTCCCAAACCGGTTCTCAGCCTCGAGATGCTCTCCAGCAAGTGCGCCCCGCTGGCATCGTCTGGAGATTCCCGGATCGTCCCGAACGGCCACCAAAGGCCCAAATGATGACCAGAAATCCACCAGGGGACCGGCCCAGGGGGGGAACATCGAGGTGGCATCGGCGACACATCGCCGATAGATTGGCGACAGGCCCCCGATAGCACATCCACGTGGTCCTGGGCGGGGTGGGCCCAACGTGCCCGTTAATTTTTGGCGATGCCAGATCGAGACCGACAAACCCGCTGGAATTGGAAAAGCGCGGTGGAGGAGGAAGGGGAGGAAGAGGAAGAGGAGGAGGAGGAGGAGGAGGAGGAGGAGGAGGAGGAGGAGGAGGAGGAGGAGGAGGAGGAGGAGGGAGGAGGAGGAGGAGGACGAGGAGGAGGACGAGGAGGAGGAGGAGGAGGAGGAGGAGAAAGAGGAGGAGGAGGAAACTAACGAGGAGGAGGAGGAGGAGGAGGAGAAGGAGGGGGAAGAGGAGGAACAGAAGAAACCATCGATGGACGGGCTCAGGCCCGCCCCCCGAAGGGCTGGGCTCCGGCGGCGGCCGGCGGGGCTCCTGCTCCGCGGCGGGGGTGGACGCCCCGTGCGCCGCGCGGCGCGCGAAGGCCCGGCTCGGCGCCGCGGACGCCTCGCGGGAGGGCGCGGCCGCGTCGTCGTCGTCGTCGTCGCTCCGTCGTCGTCGTCGCTCCGTCGTCGTCGCTCCGTCGTCGTCGTCGTCGTCGTCGTCGTCGTCGTCGTCGTCGTCGTCGTCGTCGGCGTCGTCGGCGTCGTCGGCGTCGGCGTCGTCGGCGTGTGCGTGTGCGTGTGCGTCGGCCGTGTGCGTGTGCGTGTGCGTGTGCGTGTGTGTCGGCGTCTGCGTCTTCGTCGTCGATCCCAGGAGGAGGAAGAGGAGCAGGAGGAGTAGGAGGAGGAGGAGGAGGAGGAGGAGGAGGAGGAGGAGGAGGATAGCGAGTCTTTATTTTCAGCGTTCAATCCGACATGTGGTACCGAGAGCGACCCCAAGACAAGTGCGCCCCGGGAGAGAGGCAGGCTGCGGCGAGGGGGCGCGCGCGCCGCGCTCCCTGTAGTTCTCGAAGACGTTATTTTCAAGGTAGGCGTCCTAGTGGTTTTCGGAATTGTACTTGTCCATGTCGGGTCCTTGTGGTCCGACTTATGGAGGACAAGAAGACAGTGAATGCGGTAGGCAGACGAATATTAAGGATTTGTGCCTAACGCGCAGTGGATGATGGGGTCGGGTAAACAGAGCACAATGCTGGAGAAGATGCCGCGCGGGCCATGGCAGCAAGCCGCTACCAACTATGAGTGCGGATGTGGTCGTACTCGGATGTTTATACTTGACTGCGGAATGAATGCGTGTTTTATGTCTAATGCTGGCGCGGAGACAAGCTCCCCGAACCCAAATTGGCCGTGGGAACAGGGTAGGAAAAGGCAGGCAGCTTATACAAGGATACCTGTCGAGCAGGAGGAGGCAGTGGAGGATGATGAAGACGAGGGAGAAGGGAGGAAGATCATGGAAGAGGATGAGGATGAGGGAAGAGCAGGGGGAGGAGGAGGAGGAGGAGGAGGAGGAGGAGGAGGAGGAGGAGGAGGAGGACAAGGAGGAGGAGGAGGAATGATCAGACGGGGATCTAGCTGGCCTGATCAACGCCACATCGATCGCAACATGTGGGCCGACGGAACGAGCCTGCCGCCTACCCCCAGGGCTGTCCTGGGCGACTAAGGAAAACCTCCCGAACGGTAGCCATCGCGAGGACCTGCTGCCCCCCTCGCCCGGGCTGATGCCAGCACCATAGCTGGTGCGCGGGGCAGGGAACTTCTACTTCCGCAGTGTAGCTGGTCTCCCCCCCGGTCGCCACTCCTGCGTGGGCTGATCTTTGCCGAGCGCCCGAGCTCCGCCAAAGGGTAACAGAACCTGCTTTCGCTGCTGGCCTTCTCGCGCGACCTGCATGGCAGCAACAGCACCCGACGCCAATGCATGCCGTTGTAACCGTCGGGCGCCCTCGGCTTTCACAGTGTTAGCTGATGGCGTCGGGCTCCAGCTTACGTTCCCGAGCTCTTCGCGCCCCGTCTGATGCTGCCACCGCTCGCCTTTTTCCCCCCCACGCGCCCCAGCTTTTCAGCTGCTGGCATCTGGCTCCGGTTTGGGTTCCCACAGCTCACAGTTCTCGCGCGCGCTGGCATTTGCAGCGTGGCTGACGATCGACTGCCTGGCTTCTCGCACGTCCTGCTTACGCCAGTGAAGCTGATGACGTTTGACTCCAGAACTGTGCCCCAAGCAACCTCGTCTCGCCCGATCCGACGACTCCGGGGGAAAGAAGAGGAGGACGCGTAGGAGGAGGCGGAGGAGGAAGACGAGGAGGAGGAGGAGGCGAATGAGGAGGAGGCGGATGATGATGAGGCGGAGAAGGAGGAGGAAGAGGAGGAGGAGGAGGAGGAGGAGCAGGAGCAGGAGGCGGAGGGGGAGGGGCAGGAGGAGGAGGAGGAGGAGCAGGAGGAGGAGGAAGCATGAGGAGGCGGAGGAGGAACGAAAGGAGGAGGAGGAGGAGGAGGAGGAGGAGGAGGAGGGATGAGGGATGAGGGCCACCGAGAGCGCGTCCGACTCGAACACGCCACGGGATCAGAGGAACATGTAGAGGCGCACGCCGAAGACGAACGCCATGTGGCGGACGGAGGGGAGGGGCGGCGGGCATGCTCGCTACGCGGCGAGCCCCCCTGCCAACCCCCCACAGCCACCCCCGTCCGCCCCGGAGTCTCCACCAGGGGGTCCACGACGCGGCTCAGCAGGCCCAGCTGGTCGAGGAGGCTCCGAAGCGGCGGCGGCCTCTCCGCTAAGGAGGGCACCCAGCTCGTGGGGGGCCACGCCGAGCCGAGCCGCCATGGCACGTGCCAATGCCGTGCCGCGCGCGCCGCTGGGAGGCCGCCCGCCGCCCGTCGCCACCCTGGCCGCCGTCCGCCGCGGGGGCAGCTCGTCGGCCCAGGAGTCGTCCAGCAGGGGCGATGGCGGAGCAGGGGCCCCCCCCGCCTCCGCAGCCGCCGTTCCCGCGTCCTCCCCCTCCGCGTCCAAGACCATCGCCGTCACCTGCTTCGCCGTGCCAGCCTTCTTGCCCCGCCCGCGCGGGCGGCGCCGCCGCCGCGGGGCGGCAGCGGGGGGGGGCGCCGCCTCGGGAGGCGCGGCAGGGGCGGGCGGCGCCGTCAGGGCGGCGATGGCCGTCCGCAGGAGGCCCTCGGAGGCGCGCACGAGGCGCTGGGCCTCGCGGCAGCCTCCAGTGAGCCCAGCTGCAGCGTGCGTGGCGAGGAGCGCGCCGCGAAGGGCGTCCTCGGCCGCGCGCACACGGCGGGCGTCGAGCGTCGGCGGCATCGGCGACGGCGCGGGAGGCGCGCGGCGGCGCGACCCAGCGGGCGAGGCTTAAGCCAAAACCAACTTGAGGAGGAGGAGGAGGAGGAGGAGGAGGAGGAGGAGAAAAAGGAGCAGGAGGAGGAGGAGGAGCAGCAGGAGGACCAGGAGGAGGATGAGGAGCAGGATGAGGAGGAGCAGGAGGAGGAGGAACAAGAGGAGCAGGAGGAGGAGGAGGACGAGGAAGAGGACTACTGATACTAATAATAATAAGAAGAATAATAATAAGCATACTAAGAAGATGAAGAGCAGGAACAGGAGCAGGTAGTGGTGATCGGGCCTAAACGATTACTCCGCCCGTCTCATGCCGAAAGCCTAAAAACTAGAAGCTGATAACAAGGAATAACGAATGCAGTGCTCTATGATGGCTCTACTGTGCTGCGTGCCTAACATGTGCCTCGCCCACTTCTCCTCCCACTGGTTCCACCCCCCTCGAATGCAAGCCTCCTCCATCCAGTCCAGACCCTACTTCTTGAAGAACTTCGCAAACTGCTGCTCCCAGTGCCAGGGGGCAGACCAGCGTGGGTGTCCATGGCGATGCCATGGTTTGGTGGCATTCTCCTGGCATCTGCTCCAGCAGTTCCAGAGAAGTGCTTGACAGGGAAGATCATCGGGGGCGTATTTGCTTCTGTGGGCAAGGTGGCCAGCATATTGAAACGTACGTTTGAGAGCCACCACGTCAGCGTCAACGACGTGTGCGCCCAGTCGCAAGGCTTTGGTTTCTCGCCGCTGTCGTTCGGCGTAACTCTCATCTGTATCATGCCTGAGCCGGTGAATCCGCATAGCATCCCTAAGATGCTTGTTGATGCAGCCCCTGATCTTTCGAAGGGTTCGGACGTTGTAGGTCCAGCAGGGGGCGGTGCGCAGGGCAGCGGACGCCCATTCTCGCTGGATGAATGACAGCCTCCGAAGTCGACTGGTGCACCTCGGCCTCCAAAATGAGCTGTTCTGCGCCGCGCCACTGGATCCAGCGAGACACTTTTTCGAGATGCCAGGCTTCATGCATCCCCGCGCAGTTGAATGGCTCCCCAGCAATCGTGGTGGTGAACCATTGGCGAATCTCTTCGTTCCTTCCCAAGGATTCTATGGTGACTAGTCGGTATCCCCTCCCAACTGGGCCGTTGTATGCCATTGAATGCGTGATGCCGGAAAGTCCCAGCCCGCAATAGCGAATGCTCGCTCCGCCAACGCATGGATCTCCTTCGCCTGCTGCCAATCCCTGCTCAATGTGATGAGATTACCGGAGAAGCAAACGAATGGCATATAACGCGTGCAACAGGCCTGGTACAATTTGGTACGATGGGCTGAACAGGGATGAATGTCAACCAATGGTGCCCCAAGGCGTGTTCGTTGGCAGAGCTTCCACACGGGGTTCAGACATCTTTCGAAACAGAATGCGCAGACACCTGGTCCCAATTTAATGTCCTGTGGGATGGCTCTGGAAGTAAAGCCAGCAATGGCCTCCAGCCCTTGAAGATGTAGGGAATGCCGAAGACTACGAAATTGACGAACGAACCAAACGACGATACTCTTAGGAACGCCACGCTCCAACAATGCTTCGATAAGGAGTCGATGTCGAACTCGATCAAACGACTTTGGCAGATCCGACGGTGCAATGGTGAAAGGCTGGTCAGCGTGCACTGGCCTTTGCCCAAACATCATCACAATGAAGATCAAGTCCACGCAGGAATGCCGTGCTCGGTGCGCGAACAGCCATGTGTTGTTAGGCTGGATCTACTTAAACATCATGTCCAACACTCCTCCTCCCGTCTCATTCAGGAGCCCATGCAAGACGGTGATTGGCCTGAGCTGGGTCCACCAGTTGACGATGTGACATGTTTGTAATCATGCCATGTTCGTGAGTATGTCCCTATCCCTCTGCATGCCCACCACCCCTGTGATAGACAATGGAACATCATAATGAAGACGACTACGTGTAGGTGGACGTGCGATAGTGCCACGATTCGGGGAAGTCGAATTTCTGGAATCTGTCATAACATTTTCAGGCTCATTGGACGCGCCGATTGTGCGAAGAATTCCACGGATGTCCTTGTTCAAGCAATCTGTGATGTTGTGCAGCGGATGTGTGACGTCCCTCCCTCCCACGCATAAGCAAGGTGAAGAAGTGCCGTCGTCGTCAAGACGCGAGCCTCCCTGAACGCAGTACTCACAATAATGAAATTGCAAGGTGGACTCCTGCGCCCGAACGGGACCGCACTCGTCCATGCCGAAATTAGCCTGGGAATCCGCCCAGAAGCTCTTAGCCCTGGGTGTCCACTTAGCTTGAACTTAGCAGGAACAGCAGCAGGAGGAGGAGAGGAAGCGCCTCTACGTCCACCGCGCCCAGGGCATCGGCGTCGCGGCCCCGCCACCCCGCAGCGGCCAGCGGCCGGGGCGGTGAGGCCCGCGATCGGGTGGCGGCCAGCCTGCGCCTGCGAGTCGGGCGCACGCGAACATGGATTTCGGATCCGTGGATGTGGCGCGCGGGCGACAGATCCACGGATCGAGGAAAGCACCCCTTCCGCCGCGTGGGGCCAATGCCTCCTGGTTTTGGGGCGGACCACGTCGATGTTGCATGGGAGCGGGGCCCGTCGCTAACCTATGCGACTCGCTCCATGTTCGCGGTTCGCCAATCCTCCTCATCATCATCGTCGCCATCATCGCCACCACCTCCATCACCACCACCACCGCCATCATCATCATCATCATCATCATCATCATCATCATCATCATCATCATCATCATCATCATCCTCATCGTCGTCATCATGATCATGATCCTGATCATGAAGATGATCATCATCATCGTCGCCGTCGTCATCATCATCACCATCACCATCCTCATCCTCATCCTCATCCTCATCCTCATCCTCATCCGCATCCTCATCCTCATCATCCTCATCATCCTTATCCTCATCATCATCACCATCATCATCAGCATCATCGTCATCATCATCAATATCATCATCATCATCATCATCATCATCATCATCATCATCATCATCATCCTCATCCTCATCCTCATCCTCATCCTCATCCTCATCATCATCATCATCATCATCATCATATTCCTCTTCCTCTTCCTCTTCCTCTTTCTATTTCTCCTCCTCCTCCTCCTCCTCGTGCCCCTATAACCCCTCCCTCCTCCATCTAATTTCCTTCTAGATGCCTCCTCCCTGTCGTACCCGTGGCCTTTCCTCATTAATAACCCCTTTCACCCCTTTCGGTGTGCCGCCCAACCTTCCAAGGTTCAACATCGATCCGAGCTTGATCACTCCCATCGGTCGGTGCCGCCCCGGAAGCCCCTGGCACGGCAGCCTGGGCAGCTCGGAGCCAGTTGCTTGAGAGTAAACTGCTAGTTTCGGTCAGCAGCAGCTGCGGGAGTATGAATGAGACAAAACAGGAGGAGGGAGCAAAAGGCAACACATGGCTACTGTCTTCTCCCTCTTCTCTCCTCTTCCGTCCACCTGCCTCCTCAAACTCCCTTTTCCTTCACCGTCTGGACCTGGGGGTCCCTCCTAATTTTCCTGACTCACTTGCCCTCCCATCCGCGCCTCAGGAATCCGATCACACGAATGACACGCGGCACTGAACATCTCTACAATATTAAAGCTTGTCGTATCCTCCTCCCTCCTCCCTCCTCCCTCCTCCTCCCTCCTCCCTCCTCCTTCCTCCTTCTCCTTCCTCCTCCTCCTCCTCCTCCCTCGTCCCTCCTGTTGGCTCTTGTTGGCTTCGTTTGTGTCCGGTACAGCTGGGCGATAAGAAATCTGAGAAAAGTAAAGAAAAAAAGGGGGGGGCTCAGGGGATGGCGGCGGAGGTCCCCCCCCCCACCAGCGAGCTCCACCTCAGCGGAATTGAACTCCCAAAATTCGTTCCCGAGCTTGGGCCCACTCCGCTCCTGAGCTGCCGCGAACCATTCCGTGCACCCCGATTGCGAAGGCCTTTACTGCACGCGGCCCCGAGAGAGCGGGAACCGGCGGAACCGGAAGCGCCGCAACACGAGCACCAGGCCACCCGCCCCCCCCAACCAAACACGGTGGCTCGTGTCAGCCGTCCTCCTCCTCCTTTCCCTCCTCCTCCCTCTCCTCTCCTCCTCCTCTCCTCCTCCTCCTCCTCCTCCTCCTCCTCCTCCTCCTCCTCCTCCTCCTCCTCCTCCTCCTCCTCCATCTTCTCCTCCTCCTCCTGCTCCTCCTCCTCCATCTCCTCCTCCTCCATCTCCTCCTCCTTCTCCTCTTCCTTCCTCCTCCTCTTCCTCCTCCTCCTCCGCCTCCTCTTTGGCGGACCGCCGCAAAGCACCAAAGCTAGGTGACGCCTCGGTCGCCCGCGGTTGTGCCGCCCGCCCGCCGTATCAGTGCGGTGCCCGCTAGGCTCAGCAATTAACTGGAGGGTCTGAGGCTTGGCTTATGTTGTTCCTATCGTACTCAAGGAACGAATCTCAGAAATAATTTCGAGCACCCAGGAAAATATCGAAACATTGTCGACAGAGTATCGCTTCCCAGGGCTCGACACGTGAACTCCCTCCAGCTTCGGTGCTCGAAATTCTTTCTGGTGATCAAGGCCAAAGTAGGTTGAGACATCATAAGGCTTGGGCCTTCAAGGCCTCTTGAGTTGAATCGCATCTGGGAAATCTTTGGCAACTAATTAGGTAATCCATGACCTCCGCAATCAACCAAACCGACTGTTTGGTCAGAGCAACGCTACGCCTAGGAGGGGCCTGTGAGAAAGGGGTTGGTGGGGTGGGCAAGGGCCCCGCGCTCAGCCGGCACGCCTGCCCGCATGTGTCTGAAGAGTGTGGACATGGGATGGAGGAGGAAGAGGAATTCCGTGATGCCTCTGGGCCTTTAGAGCACTCCGGTGGACTGTGGAGGCGTGGAGGCCTCCAGGGAGCCCTGGGGTACCTTGAGGAGGAGGAGGAGGAGGAGGAGGAGGAGGAGGAGGAGGAGGAGGAGGAGGAGGAGGAGGAGGAGGAGGAGGAGGCGGGGGAGAGCATTTCCAGAGGGCTCCAGCACCATCCTCCTGAACTCCCAGCTCCAGGCCAGTCCGCAGGCGCCCCTGCAGAGTCGGGTGGGTCGCTCAGCTCACCGGCGAACTCCCACACCTCGATGCTGTGCGCCGCCCTCTCAAGCCGACCGACGCCTAGTCCGCAGGCAACTCTGCAGAGTCGGGCGGGCCACTCGGGTCACCCGCGAACTGCCTCATCTCGGTATTTTCGGGCGGCGCGGAGGGGCGTGGGGGCGGCGCTCCAAAAAGGCAGTGGGCTCAGGTCGGGCATGTCCACTGCGCAGGCGGACTCTGGGAGACAACTAACGAGCACCAGAAAGTAGTTACAGTGCGGATGTGGCCGCAAGAAGTCCTCGCAAGAAACCCAACCCTGAGAACCCGTGCGCAAGAAGCCCAACCCTGGAAACCCGGAACACCCTGAACGCAGCAGCTCCTTCAACGGCTGCGGGAAGTCACCGCGCAGCGCGAGGAGCGAAGAAACCCACAATACCCTGACGAAAAGCATATGGTTTCTTGATGCGCACCCCCACTGTAGCGAAAAGAATAAGAACACACGTCCAGAGACTATATCTTAACTACGTATTCTTGCACACTCCTCTTGCAGAGGGACGTGCCCGACTCAACAGTAGGCTTTCCGAAGCCCCCCCCCTCCGACTCCCGAAGCCGCCCTCTGCGAAGCAGCTCTCCTTGTAGAAAGCCGCCGGCCCGTGCTGCCTGAGCCCTCTGCCCTTGCCGAAGGGCACCCCCCCCCCCTCGCCCCCAATCCTCGGCCACGGCCCGACCCCAGGGCGGCCGCCCCCGGGCTCCTGAGCTGCGGGGCGACGAGCACGGGAGGACCGCCTCAGGAGGGGAAGCTGGAGGCCCAGATGGGGTCGGAGCAAGTCGGGTCGGAGGATCGCCGACACATCGCCGACACATCGACAGTGCATCGGCGATGCATCGGCGATGCACTGGCGATGCATCGTCGACGCGGCGTGAAGCGAATCGGGCTGCGTGTCGAGCCGCATCGGCGATGCATCGGCGATGCGGCGCGATCCTTCGGCCCCATCTGCTCCGACCCCACTTTTGGAGGCCCAGAGAAACGCCGACCTGGAATCGGCGATGCGTCGTCGATAGAGCGGCCATGGGCGCGCATCCACACGATCCTGGGCAGGCGGTGGGCTATCGGCCACCCCTCGGCGATGACATTGGGCGATTTTTGGGGTTGCTGCATCCCCCCTGGGCCTTTCACTCCCCCCTTTCATGCCGTCCTACAGGCGGATCTAGGAGTAAAAATCCGCCGGCCCCCTTGTGGGGCCACCAGGCTGTGGGGCGAAGGTTCGCAGTTTCCTGTACCAGTTGCAGCTTCCAGTTTCCACTGTTACAGTTCTGCTTCTTGCTGCTTACTCTTCCTTGTTGATGGACCGCGCGAGGGGGGGAGGCCCAAAACGGGCATTTTTACCACGCCCTGAGCATGTGCTCTGAATTGCTGGGGTGGGTAAAAATTGGCACCCGTCACGCAGATCGGCGGGGTCAGGGTCCAAAAACACAGGGGATTTGCCACATTTCTGAAATTCGGTGGCACCCCTCACGCAGATCGGCGGGGTCAGGGTCCAAAAACACAGGGGATGTGCCACATTGCTAAAATTTGCTGGCACCCCTCACGCAGAACGGCGGGGTCAGGGTCCAAAAACATATGGGATTCGCCACATTTCTAAAATTTGCTGGCACCCTTCACGCAGAACGGCGGGGTCAGGGCCCAACAACATCAGGGATTTGCGACATTTCTGAAATTCGGTGGCACCCGTGACGCAGATCCGTAGGGTCAGGGTCGACACTGCTTCACGGCGGCGCCCAGACCTCATGATTTAGCTTTTGCATCTCCCACTATCCGTCAAGCAAATACTTTGCGAAAACAATGGCGCACCGAAAAGATGGGCCCGCCGCCGGAGAGGCCGTCCACGACAGCAATGGGCCAAATAAGTTTTTGAACGAACGCAATCTTTGTGAATCATGTTCTTTGTCATCGTAATCACCTCCCTCTTCCCCCTTCCTCCCCGCGCGCGTTTGGCGCGTCTGCGCTGCACCTGCGCGTGTTTGGCGTGTCGCCCGCCTGCTTCCGCACGTGTTTGGCGTGTCTCAGGTCTGACCACAATCGTCCTTTGCACGTGTTTGGCGTGTCGCACGGCTGTTCAGGCGCGTGTTTGGCGTGTCTCAGGCTTGTGCCAACGCGTCCTACTGGACGCACGGCTAACTGACTGACTGACTATCCGAGACAGGGGGCCGGCGGCATGGGGCGAAGCCCTTACAGATAAAAGACAGTCGAACAGAGCAATCATCGAACATAGCCAGAAGGGCACGAGAAATCGTCACCACACTATTTTCTGAATATGCTTGAATATTCTCCCTGTAGACAAACATGCCCGATGGAGGGTGAAAATGGGGGTCGGGCG